CTGGGAGGCTATTCTGAAATCTTGCAAACAAATTCAAGCAGAAACTGTCCAAAAACTCACAAGTTCAATGGATGCAAGACTTGTGAAGCTGCTATCAAATAAGGGGTCCTATGTTACAATGTAACGTGACCTGTTAAAATGTTTAAAAAGTTAAAATGTTAAAAGTTTGATTGAAATAGCTTTTGATTGCAGTAAATATGCTGCAAACACAACAAATGACAATTTTCAGTTCTTTGCAACCTATAAAGTGTTTTGAAACTTACTGTGCGTAATAATTTGGAACAGTGCATTGTAAGTGTTTTATGTTTAACAAAAATCCTGTTATCATTAGGAGGTTTGTTCAATAAAATGTGAATTGTACTCTTAATAGTTGATAACCTGAGAATTATGCTGACTGTTATTTACATCAATTATTTAGGTAAATGAGAAAAATATAATTTGCATAATACTTTGGAACAGGGTGTATATATATATATATATATATATATATATATATATATATATATATACAGTCATGGCCGAAATTGTTGGCACCCTTGATATTTTTCCTGAAAATCAAGTATTTCACACAAAAAAGGTATTGCATTAACACATGTTTTGCTATACACATGTTTATTCCCTTTGTATGTATTGGAACAAATATAAAACAGAGGCAGAAAAGCAAATATGACATAATGTCACACAAAACCCCAAAAATGGGCTGGACAAAAGTATTGGCACCCTTAACTTAATATTTGGTTGCACACCCTTTGGAAAACATAACTGAAATCAGTCGCTTCCTATAACCATCAATAAGCTTCTGACACCTCTCACCCGGAATTTTGGACCACTCTTCCTTTGCAAACAGCTCCAGGTCTCTCTTATTGGAAGGACACCTTTTCCCAACAGCAATTTTAAGATCTCTCCACAGGTGTTCAATGGGATTTAGATCTGGGCTCATTGCTGGCCACTTCAGAACTCTCCAGCGCTTCTTTGCCATCCATTTCTGAGTGCTTTTTGACGTATGTTTGGGGTCATTGTCCTGTTGGAAGACCCAGGATCTTGGACGCAAACCCAGCTTTCTGACACTGGGCCCTACAGTGCGACCCAAAATCCTTTGGTAATCCTCAGATTTCATGATGCCTTGCACACAGTCAAGGCACCCAGTGCCAGAGGCAGCAAAACAACCCCAAAACATCATTGAACCTCCACCATATTTTACCGTAGGTACTGTGTTTTGTTCTTTGTAGGCCTCATTCCGTTTTCGGTAAAACAGTAGAATGATGTGCTTTACCGAAAAGCTCTATCTTGGTCTCATCTGTCCACAAGACGTTTTCCCAGAAGGCTTTTGGCTTACTCAAGTACATTTTGGCAAACTGTAGTCTTGCTTTTTTATGTCTCTGTGTCAGCAGTGGGGTCCTCCTGGGTCTCCTGCCATAGCGTTTCATTTCATTTAAATGTCGACGGATAGTTCGCGCTGACACTGATGCTCCCTGAGCCTGCAGGACAGCTTGAATGTCTTTGGAACATGTTTGGGGCTGCTTATCCACCATCCGGACTATTCTGCGTTGCAATCTTTCATCAATTTTCCTCATCCGTCCACGACCAGGGAGATTAGCTACAGTGCCATGGGTTGCAAACTTCTTGATAATGTTGCGCACTGTGGACAAAGGCAAATCTAGTTCTCTGGAGATGGACTTGTAACCTTGAGATTGTTGATATTTTGCCACAATTTTGGTTCTCAGGTCCTCAGACAGTTCTCGTCTCCTCTTTCTGTTGTCCATGCTTAGTGTGGCACAGACAGACACACAATGCAAAGGTTAAGTGAACGTCTCTCCTTTTTATCTGCTTTCAGGTGTGATTTCTATATTGCCCACACCTGTTACTTGCCCCAGGTGAGTTTACAGGAGCATCACATGCTTGTAACATTCTTATTTATCCGCAGTTGTGAAAGGGTGCCAATACTTTTGTCCAGCCCATTTTTGGAGGTTTGTGTGACATTATGTCGAATTTGCTTTCTTTCCTCCCTTTTTTTGTTTTGTCCCAATACACACAAAGGGAATAAACATGTGTATAGCAAAAACATGTGTTAATGCAATACGTTTCGTGAGAAATACATGATTTCCTGGAGAAATATCAAGGGTGCCAACAATTTCGGCCATGACTGTATATATATATATATACCATAGTTTGTAGGCGGTATAACTTTCATGCAAACCAATCAACATACACTTATTGGGATTTGTTTTTTTTTACCAAACACATGTAGCAGAATACATTATTACCCTAAATTTGTGATGAAATTAGATATTTCATTTATTTATTTTTTTATTGGATAGGTTTTATAGCAGAAAGTAAAAAAATATATATTTTTTTCAAAATGCTCAGTCTTTTTTTATTTATATTGCAAAACATAAAAAAAAATCCAATGAGGATCAAATACCACCAAAAGAAAGTTCTATTTGTGTAAAATAAATTACATAAATTTCATTTGGGTACAGTGCTGCATGACCAATCAATTGCCAGTTAAAGTAGCGCAGTGCTGAATAGCAAAAAAATGGCCTGGTCATGAAGGGCGTAAAATCTTCTGGCGCTTAAGTGGTTAAAGCCAATCTAAAATCTAACTGGATGACATTTAGTTTGCTAAAGCACCGAGTATCATGAGCAATCGTCAAGTTTTATTCTTCCCATGAAATACAATATTGCTTTGGCCTTTTGTCATCGTCCTTCAGTTGACTGCTTCCAATATAATGGTTGTGATAGACAGCCCAACAGCAGGCTGACAACGCTGCTGTGAATTGTTGAAGTGATTTTAGCCAGCAACAGGAAGTGCTGTTATCAGGGGCGGACTGACCATTTAGCCACTCAGGCACTGCCCGAGGGCCCAGGGTCAGTAGGGGGCCCCATGAGATGCCCCTGGTACCTTTCATTGGCTTTTTCATAGGCTTTTTTGTCTGTGGGCGAGGAAACGGGGGCCCCAAAATCCCCTATTGCCCAGGGGGCCCCATGAGTTGTCAGTCCGCCCCTGGCTGTTACTTACAGGATCTGCAGGTAAGAAACTCTGTAACAGTTTGATAAAAATATATTCATTTAAACCCCCTCTGGTCAGCAGAAAAGATTACCCTTGAGATGATGCCACCTCCACACACTGCAAGAGCAGTATTAGACCCTCAGTATTTTTAGGCAGTCTTCGATGGAAAGAGATAATAGTGGACAGTGCGGCTGGATAGGAGGAGTGGGGGTGCATTTAGAAGAATCAATCGCTCCATTTTTCTCCTGCAGCCGCTGAATGCCAGCTTCTCCTTTACCTCCCACAGGCATTCAGTGGCTGCAGGAGGAAAATGGAGAGATCGATTCCTCTATATGCAGCTTTTTCTTGCTGCCCCCATGCTCTATGTTCCCTGAGCTCTCCGCCCCCCTGTGCTCACTGGCCCCCACTGCTCTCCAACCCCGTGCTCTCCCACCCCCCTGTGCTCTTTGGCCCCCCCCCCCCCCATGCTGTCCGTTTATGAACGGACAAGAAGCTCTGCACACAACTTTTTCTGTCCATTCATTCTGTGCAGCTGAGAATGCAGAGAAGGAGATTGAGGGCTGTGTCCTCAATCTCCTTTCTCTGTCCCAAAGGTGAAACATCAGAGGTCTGTTTAGGTCTGCTTAGACCCCTGATATTACACCAAAGCCCCCCAACAGGGCACCTAAAATAATTGTGAAAATAATTTTTAAAAAAAACAAAACAAAAAACAAACAAATAAAAACTACTGACACCAGTGGGGGAACTACCAAGGTCACAAAGGTCACAAAGACCCTGGCATTCCACCACTGGTTAGCATTTGCAAAAATTATTTTCAAAATTATTTTAGGTGCCTGTTGGGGGGCTTCCACCACAGGGGTCTAACTGGAGGGAAGGACCCTTTATGGTTTCTTGCACTGGGGCCCTCAACGTTCTAGTTACACAACTGCCCTGGACACAACCAGAAGTAGACACACCGCTCCCCTCCTTCCTCCTTCTCCAGGCCAATCAGAGAAATGTTGCTAAACTAGATTACAATGCAGCCACCCAGCCCATTATTAGGCCTCATGGACAATGGACATTTTCTTAACCTTCCTAGAAGCCTTCCTCCTGGCAGCAGAGTTTGGCAGAAAAAAAAGTCCTCATGCTTATAAAAGTGTGTAATGCTTTCAGGCATGGTTACAGGTGTCAAGCAATTCAGCATTAATTCATTTCATTGGCAAATAATAAATTATTCTGGCCATTGAAATTAATTAATGCTCAAGCTTTATACATGTGTTTAGACATGTTTACAAATGTCAGTCTTTTTTTCTGCCAAACCGCCATTGCTCCTGGATGCACTGGTAGGGTTTTTTTTCATGTCTCTAAATGCACCTGCCTCTAAATTCCTCTAAAAGTCTATGCATGCATGAACATATAGGGTAACATGCAGGGGGGTTTAGAGGCAGGAAAAAAAAAAACCACTAGATGCCCCTGGGAGCAGCTAAAAAAAGATCTTAAAGCTGGAAATAAATAAAAGGCATTCTTTTAACTGGGGATGAAATCAGGGATATATTATTATTAATATTACTATTATTATTAGTATACAGGATTTATATAGCGCCAACAGTTTGTACAGCGCTTTAAAATACAGTACAATTATAATACATGTCAGTACAGAAGGAATATGAGGGCCCTGTTCGTGGAGCTTACAATCTAAAGGAAGGGGGAGGTGATACAAAAGGTGATAGCTGCGGGGGATGATCTGGTGGAGGTGACTTAAGTACAGGAGATGGGGTAGGCTTCCCTGAATAAGTGAGTTTTCAAAGATCGCCTAAAGGCAGACAGGGTGGGTGCTGACCGGACATACTGTGGTAGGGAGTTCCAGAGGATGGGAGAGGCTCTGGAGAAGTCCTGGAGGCGAGCGTGGGAGGAGATGATGAGGGAGCTAGAGAGGAAGATGTCTTGGGAATAGTGGAGTGGGCAATTTGGGCGATATCTGTGATGAGGTTGGTGATGCAGCTAGGGGCAGTGTTTTGGATGGCTTTGTAAGTTGTGCTTAGTATTTTGAATTTTATATGTTGGGTTAGTGGAAGCCAGTGGAGGGATTGGCAGAGAGGGGCAGCAGTCGCTGATCAGTTGGTAAGGTGTATGAGTCTAGCAGCAGCATTCATAATAGACTGAAGGGGGATAGCCTGTGTAACGATAGACCAGTGAGGAGGGAGTTGCAGTAATAGAGGCGGGATATAACCAAGGCGTGGATAAGTTGTTTTGTGGTGTCATTGATCAGAAAGGGGCGGATTTTGGAAATGTTCCGGAGGTTGAGGCGGCAGGATTTAGCCAGTGATTGGATGTGGGGCCTGAAGGAGAGGTCAGAGTCTAGGATTACACTTAGCACCCTGGCATGAGGGGAAGGACCAATAGTTGTGCTGTTGATCTTAATGGTAAAGTCATGAGTGGGGGATCGGGGAGGAGGAAATATTACAAAATCGGCTCCTGGATACTCAGAAACATCTGGTCACCCTACCCCTAGACTAAACAAACATTTAACCCTTGGGGTGGGACTCACTACAAGGGTCAATTTTATACTAAAATATAATTTGGGGTTTACATGCACTTTAAGGTGATTATGTTGACCACATTCTCTGATATACAAATGAGCACTAGAGGAAGCCTTTACAAATATGTACATTAAATAGTGTAACCAAAATTTAAATCAGCAAGCAAGTAAAAATGTGAATGTCATATAAAGTATACCTTTCAGCCAAACAAACCAATGTGTGTGCTTTTTTGGAAATACACTAGAGCCTCCCTTTAAAAGCAGCACTTCGGGGCCTCTCTTAATTAGGAGACTGGTTGTATTTCCTAATAAAGTTTTCAAATCAGCAGTCAGCATGACCATAGTAGCAGATATATATAAAATTGTGTGATGCAGGCTGTAAACAATACATCTCTACAACACGAGCTGTCACTGAAGAGCATCAATCAATCAGCGAGAATAGGAACGGAGCGTCGCATTTGTCTCATGATCGCTTGGCGTGTAAAAGCAATGCCTGGAGTGCACACTATCAGGCTAGAATAGCGCTGACAAAGTACCATGAGAAACAGATTCTAGTTAGTATTTGACTGGCATCTCTTTGGGCACAGGTGCGGGATGGCTACAGCAACATCTGATGGGTATAAAACAACTAAATGCAAATGAAAACACTGGAGAATCTACTGCATAAAGTATTTCCAAAGCCGTCCTGACTGCGCCACATTGCCCGCAAGCTCAGAGCCATAAACTGTTCACAGTTTACAGTTATATTGCTTTTACTGTAAACAGAGATCGTAAAAGCTTCTCTAGTAGATCAACATCTTCATGACTTAAATATTTCACAGCATCATGATCTGAGCAACTTTCCCATTGCAGATGCATGTATACATATTATATGCGCACAGCTGCTACTACTTCACTTTGCTCTCCTGCTGCTACATTCAGGATAGAAGAAGAACCCTGTGTAAGCTCCAAGTCACTTAGGAGCTTACACAAGGCTAAAGACTTCCTATCCCATTAATGCATTTGTCAGGAATGGACTCGCCAATGGTGGTGGGACTCGCCTGCCTTGTGGGCTGCAGTGCCAAGGCTGGCCAGCGGGTGCTCTCAGCAGCCAGAATCTCACTCCTGCCTGCAATCAGGCCATCACCTGAGGCTGATTGCGGGAGGTATATTTAAGCAGGACCAGGCCTGTGATCAGTGCCTTGGTGTATGTTTCCCATGAGCCCCTGTACCTGCATCCTGTCTGCTTCCTGCCTGATCCTGATTCTGCTTTGATCCTGACTCTGCACTAACTCCGCCTGTCCTGACCTTGGCTATTCCTGACCACTCTTCCGCTCGCTCCTGGTACCCTGTTTGCCCGTTTGCTACCGACCCGGCCTGCCCGACTACGTTTGATTTGTATACATGGTTATCTGTTGGAGGTTGGGTTGTTTGCACTATGTTATGTTTACCTTAAACTGCGTTTCTGTTGTTTAGTCTTTAATAAATTGTCTTGTTTACTCTATACCTGAAGCATGCGTTTCCCTGTGTCAGTCCACACACCTCTGGTCATACCCGGAGCACTGACAACATTGTTCTGCATTGTAGGAGAAAGGGTAGTGAGTCTCCTCCCGAAGGGTTGTTTAGCTGTTCCCATTTGAGGCCTACTGTAAATAGAATTCAGTGTCGTTGGGTCAGAAACCCCTTCAGCTCCACTCTCTTCAGTCAATAAACCTTGCCAGAGAACTATCACTTTTATGTCAGAACATAGTTGTAGGGGACCAGTGGTTGCAGGACAGGTCTATCAGTGCTCCTGCCAAATAACCAGCTCAAATAATGCTAGGGTCATGGGGTACAAGGTGTGAGGAGAAGAAATCCATCAGGATGGCCGGGTCTGCCAACTCTCCTTCTGCCAATCACCACCAGTCCCCTGACCAAGACAGTCTTTACACTACCTTCTTGTTTCCCCAACTATAGGCCACATGCACCAAGACAGTCTCTATACTTACTTCTTGTTTCTCCAGTTATAGGCCACCATGGCATGCACTAAGCTAGTCTTTACTCTACTTATTTCATCAGGTATAGGCCACCATGCACTAAGCTAGTCTTTACTCTTCTTATTTCCTCAGGTATAGGCCACCATGCACCAAGCCAGTCTTTACACTAACTTCTTGTTTCTATAGGCAGCACAGTGGCTTAGTGGTTAGTACGTCTGCCTTGTAGTAAATGGGTCATGGGCTTGATTCCCGAACATGGCGCCTCCTGCATGGAGTTTGCATGTTCTCCCTGTGCTTGCCTGGGTTTCCTCCGAGTACTCTGGTTTCCTGCAACACTCCAAAGACATGCTGGTAGGTTAATTGGATCCTGTCTAAATTGGCCCTAATATGTGTATGTATGAATGTGAGTTAGGGACCTTAGATTGTACACCCCTTGAGGGTTAGGGACTGATGTGAATGTTCAATATATGTATGTGTAAAGCGCTGTGTAAATTGACAGCACTATATAAGTACCTGAAATAAATAAATAAATATAGGCTGCCATGCACCAAAGTCACCTTTACTCTTCTTGTTTTCTGAGGTATAGGCCACCATGCACCAAACTCATCTTTACTCTATTTGTTTCCCCAGGTAAAGGCCATCAAGCACCAAGCTCATTTTTACTCTTCTTGTTTTCTGAGGTATAGCCCACCATGCACCAAACCAGTCTTTACATTTGCTCCTTGTTTATACAAGCATAGGCCACCATGCACCACTGAAATAAAGAGGCAAAAGCCCACTCCCTACTGGAACTTTTCTTTACTTCGTAAATATTCAATGAAAAATCCATTTTAATGTAGTTATTAAAAGTCCATTTGCAGCATGGTCCCATATATCATGTCTAGTCATGTTTAGTTCTCAGTCAACTTTCACAGTACCTTCTCAAGAGAGCTCTCCAGCCTTCCTGTCAAGACCTATTGGGGAAACATAGACAGCATTTGCTCTGGAGACAAGGGCTGTTTACAGTTACTTCACATTTTTAGGCCATAGAGTTCCCGCAGGGACCAGGGTACATCTCCCTCTCAGTAATCATTACTCAACTCCCCTTTTACTCTACCCTCATTGCTACTTGGAGTCCTAACCGGAAGGCAAGTGAGGACCTCTATATGGAACAAAGTAGGGGATAATCCTATCCCCAAAAGTGTACTACAATGGGCTCTACATGCACTTCATACCACCAGCTCCCAACTGTTCCATCTGAACCTAGTCCCACTGTTCCTCTATCCTCTTTAGGTCTGATGTATCAACCTCTATAAAAATTTACTTTTTAACTACTGAAATTGTTATATTGCTGTGATCCATTCATCCAACCTCTAAGTTTTTGCAATTGTTTTTTGAAAATCCAAAGTGTCCCTCTTTCTCTTAGAATGTTGTGATGCATGCATGCATGCATACATAACATGGGTACTGCACTTCCAGTCAGATCAAAGTGACAATGTCTGCACACAACCCAGCCATCCCAAATTTTGTAAACACCCAGCCATGCTTCCACATCCCTCCCCTACTACAGCATCTATACCTGGTCTAGGTGTCAGCTGGTGTTGGAACTTAGACAGGGGGATGTCACTAGTCACCCCATGTGACATTGTTCAGGCCTGGTAATTGACCAGTTAGGTCCAAGTACTTTCACACGTTAAGGTCATATTTGGAAACCCTATTTCATTGGGATTGTGCTGGCAGCATTGTCAGAGCATGGCTCGGTTATTATAAAAGCCACATATGTAGGCTATCTTTCTGAGGTTGCCCTGAGAGTGACAGTTTCCCTTAAAGTGAATCTGTTGCTTTTGTCTGCATAAACAAAGCACCAGGCTAACCTAAACCTAGGAGCGTCTCTATGTCAGCTTTGTATATTTGGTAGAAAAGCTCTTTTTTTTTAATTCGGCCTACGTTAATTACAAAGGCCTGTTTGAAAGAAGGACTTCTGTATATCTTTGTAATATGTTATTTGGAATATATATGTAGAAATATGCTGCCTCCTTCTGTCTGCATTTGTAAGTAACTGTGCTGCTTAATATCACGGAGTTAATTATGTAAAAGTACTTCCTGTCTCTGGGTTGCTGAGTTGGAAACCCCAGATGAAGGAAGTAACAAGAGAAAGTCTGGGGCCACATGTTCTGCAGCGGAGGAGCTGCTGCTGATCCAGCCCAGAAGCATGGATTATTAGGCAAATATTCCTTTGTCTAAAAGTTTACTATTGTTGCCCATAGCTTTTTGGTATAATATACATATCATGTACAATATATATATATACTGGTGACAGAAGTATATTCGTTCCCTAATTGTTATCTCACATACACTATATCAGATAACTAAATCCGTAATATAGTGTACATGTGTAATGGTCACTTTGCTGTATATTAGTAGGTGAACCTGTTTATTGCTATAGAGTTTATATGCAGCTCCTGTTTTTTAGTTAACCTTGTCTCTTCAGGTCTTGGATTCTATAGCTGGTGTTAGCTCATTGCTCAGTAACCAGCATAGGCTAAAGCCAGGTTAAGCATCCAATGGCCTCTTCTGGTAGTT